CCAAATCAGCAGAATTGATTGGTGAAGCTATTAAGAATAAACCAGGGTTCATTGAATTACGTAAGATAGAGACAGCACGAGAAATTGCATCAATTTTATCGCGATCACAAAACAGACTTTTATTGGATTCTGAAACTTTATTGCTTAATGTTTCTGATGTTTCAAAGTAAGTAATTAATTTTTTTAGTGACTAAAAATGAATGATGCTTGAAATAATTATATAATTATATTTGTTTATTTCATAGGAAAAAAGAAAAGAAATAGCATAGATTTACTCTTACACTCTTACTAGAGATTCAATATTCAATGTACAGATTTTTTAATATATAGTGACCTTGTTAAAGTTTTATAGCAATCAATCTAATAAACTTATCTAATACGTATATTAAAATGTATCATACAAAAACGTATGTAAAGCGTAGTATAATCTAATATATTTATAATCCAATATATTATTGGCTCCTAATGTTCGCCCGTGAACATTTCTGATGATATTTTTAAATTATTTCACGGGCATTACGTCATCATCAAAAATTTTAGAAATGTTACGGGCATAGGAACCGTGAAATATATAAGATATTCAACGGTGTGCCGTGACATCATGTATTACCACGGCTTCGCCGTTCTAATCCATATTCACAGTAGCCCGTGGAATATCTGTTACAAATAATCTTAAACCATTTTACACATTTTACACATTGTTTCGCAATATAATCCAAGTAGAATTTACTTTAATTGTTGATAGATAAATCATATCGATATGATCAGTGTAAAATAAAAATAAATAAGTTTTTTTACAATGTAATTTGAATATCTGAAACATCTAAATCAACTACTTCGCCGCTTGCATTAATATATTGAATAGCCTTATCAGCGGCAATTTCTGCTACTTCATCGATTTTGTTTACCGGATCTCTAGGTACACCCGTGATTAATGCAAAATCAAGGTTGTTTAATGCTTCAAGCTATTTTTTTAATGTATAATATTAACAAAGTTAAAAGAATAGAATTTTTTTTCCAGATTTAATTTGTGAAAATTTTAAAAGTTACCTCTAATTCCTCTATAACAATATTTCAAATGTATAAACCAAATTCTGTTACTATATACATAAAAAGAAAAAAAAACCGAATTGAATTTCGTAAATACCTTTAGTCGAACTAGGAGAAGTAACAGTATCCGCTACAAATACACCTTTATAACAATAAATAATATTAATAAATAATATTATAATTCATAATAATTCATTATAATTCATTGCGTCTTGTAAAAAAGAAATTACCATTTTCAGTAGCTGCTTTAACATCAACAAGTTTAGAAGAATCACCAATTACAACTATTACATTTATAGCAGGTGAAAGTGAATCTAGAACTTCTGTATCAAATTTATCTATGAACTATATAGCGATAAGTAAAATAAATAATAATAATGATAATAATAATAATAAAATATAAAAATAAAATAATAATTAATACCCGATCAGCTCCATTAGCCAATAAGATAGCTACCACGTTTTCATATTTCGCTGTAGCTTCAACGAGGAATTCTTTTTTTGTAGAATCAAACACCTAGAAATATATGTATAATAAATGTGATAATATTACAATCTCAATAATTTTATCATAATTGTCGGAGGTGGGAATAGAATTTAAGCGATTTGGAATTTTTAAGGTTAGGGTTGGGATTTTTAGTATAATTATTCCGTTCTAATCTAAGTAGATTCCATTCCCACTTACAACATTATTATCAATAAGTTATTAATAAATTCTCAATAAGTTATCAATAAAAACACACTTTAATGTTGTATCTTTCTTTTAATTCTTCGTAAAATTTTTTTGCGTATAAAATTTCTCCAATAACCAAAACTTCTTGCTTTACTTCCATATTATTTTTAACAAAGTTTTTTTAACAAAGTATTAATTTTACGAGATTACTATATATTAAAAAAAAAAAAGAGAGAAGTAGGTTATATAAAGAGTATTCTAAAAAAATTGCAATGTCTATGCGTTATTATTTATAATTACCAAGATACCGATACAGGATAGAACTGAACCAACTTTTTTTTTTTTATTTAACATTAAACTAAGTTAAGTGTAATCTTGCGTACGTACGTACGTACACACAATCGGATGATCACAAAAGTAAATACATACGTACGTATGCACATTTAATAACGATAACAATGGTTGTCATATATATGCAGGGATATGTTCATTGATCTTGATACGATCACTTGAGCTAAACATACGTTCGAAAGTTGTGATCACATAAATATGAACCATCACTCCATTTTAAATTTAACTTAACATTCAACATTAGTTTAGACAACAAAATGACAGATAAGCCTGATTTTATTTTTATTTACAAAAAGTACATTAAAATGGAAAACAAAAATCGGATAAATAAACCAATCTAAAAAAAGAAACGAAGAACAAAAAAAAAAAAAAAAGAGGAAAAAAAAGGAAAAAGATATGTACAAAATTATATTATCTATTCGTTGATAAAATGCAAATTGCATATCCAATCAGTAATAAATCACGGGTTATAGAGGATTAATACCATGAACTTGAAGTCTATAAAGACAAGTAAATTTAGGATTTTCATGATTGCTTTTCACTTTCATCATAATTGATCTGACTCTCTTATTATTAATGGCAATCGATTCAGGTACGTTAAAAGTTTGAGCCGATCTTCCAGAAATATCATATTGATATTCGCCTAAAAAGTGAACAAAATCTTCAGTATATTCAACATCATTTTTTCTTTCCTTTTTTTTATTCACATCCGCGTTTTCAACGACTTCTGTGTCATCCTCATAATAAACAACAACATCATCGTAGTCATCAATAACACCCCATAATTCAAAATCTTTTGGAGCAGAGGAGATTGGATCAATAGAAACTTGTCGGCCAATATGGTGATAGGTTATATGCGTTACTACAATACTCCGAGAAAGGCGAATAGCTATTTGACCTTCAGTTCCATTAAAACACCAACATTCACCAACGTTAACACTTGGTGTTATTACAATTGAAGCCTTGTTACTTTTTATAACATTTTTGCGAGTGAGAAGTCCCCACAGTATTTGATAAGATTTAGTAGGCCACGCTTCGTAATCACGTGTTGTTAAGTGAGGAATTACGCGCGCACCACCTGTGTAAAGTGCATAGTCAGCGCTTGTACCATCCATCATTTTTTCGAGTTGCTCGTGAATAACCTTAAAAGAAAAAATGAATAAATACGAATAAATATTAGATAAACACGCATATAATATAATTACCATATAATTATATAATTAAATAATATTCATACTGAATACGCGCATATAAATATTAAATATATGCATATAAATATTAAATATACGCATATAAATATCAAATATACGCATATAAATATCAAATATACGCATATAAATATCAAATATACGCATATAAATATTAAATATACGCATATAATATAATTACCTCATTCAATTGTTTCCTAACCAAACCAACCAAATCATCGGAATCATCATCGTCATTTTTTTCTTTGGTATCTGAAATCTTAAACATTTCTTTTTCAACAAATTCTTGAACTTGAGCTCTCACAGTACCATCTATTTTTTTAGTAACACCAGTACCAAAATTTTCATCGATATGTTCATTATACCCACCAAAAATGTAACCCAAAATAAATAAAAATAATAACCAAATAAACACATATGAAAGTTTTTTTTCTCGTCCAAGTGAATTCATAAAATTCTTAACCCAATTAAAAGCTCTATCTGAATGATGAAGGTGTGGACTGATATGAATCTCGGTAGATTGAATTTCAGTAACAATATTATCGGTATCATCGGTTTTAAAAGATACGTTAACATAGTCACCCAAAATAGTGCTTGTAGAATCCTCGGTTTTAAAAGGAATGAAATGAGGAAAAATCATTGATAAAGCTGATGAGGTACGACTCATGGAGATTCCTCGGCTTAAATAAGGTGTCGAAGACTCTGAAAAATTCAATTCAGGATAATCAGGATAACCAGGATAATCAGGATAATAAGAAACATCACTATCAAAATACATTAAAGAATTTGGACAAATAACGTTATCATCATCGTCAGAATCAAATTTAGCAGCGTCACAATTAATGTTTCTACAGCCGATCTTATTGCAACCAATTCCACTACCACCGTGTTTCATAAATTCCAATTCAAGACCGGCATTGATAAAACGTTGTTTATATTTAATAAACAAACATTTTTTCATTTTATAATAAACTACCAGATTTAACGCTTCGGAATTGTTAACAATCCAATATTCTTCAGAAATTGGATTGTACAATTCACGAACTTCGTATGTGTCGAGAATTATTTCGAGATATTGTTTGGCGTCTTGTTGAATGCGAGGAACAGACTGGACATATGCCGCTTCCAAGTCAAAGTGGGTTGGAAAATCGGGATTGCAAGTACGGAGAAGACTAGTTCGGCTACGTGTTATTGGTGACATTTCCGAGTAAAGAAGTAAATATGGAAATATAATTGGTTTATAAGTATAATTGAAATATAATTTGAAATATAATTTGAAATATAATTGAAATATAAATGCGAATGTAATTGGTATTGGAATACAAGTATAATTGATATACAAGAAACGTAAAAGACGCGAAGTATGTTAAAAAAAAATTTAAATTATGGTTATATTTCGCGCTTTTTTTTTTCTTTTTTGAAAAATTACAATAACAATAACCGATATCGATAACTCTCAGGGGCCGCTACAGGATCTTGCCCCTGAAAATGTAACAGATATTTAAAAGTTACACGCATACATGACGATTTCAATTTTAGAACAATTTATGTAATAAAACTTCAATCAGATCTAATTGGTTTACAATAGATCTGAAGAAAATTAACCGAAAAAAAACGAACTTTTTTATCACTTTCATCTTAGTAAATTATATATTTACTAAATGAATTATTACAAGTTGAAAATTACCTGTTTACGATTCATCGTCACAAAAATGATTACATAATGGTAAATAAAGAGAATATCATAGAAAACAACCATTGAAATTCACGCTATTACTACATCTCAAAAACTTGCCTATCAAGACATTTATCAAGTATGTACCTAGTTACGCGAAACTTGTCAAACGCGAAACTTGTCAAGCATGTATTTTCCAATTGTTTTTTTAAATTGTTTTGATAAATTATAACTACATCCAATTACCATTACTTCTCCGCAATTGATAAAGATATCTGATAAACCCATTAATTCAGGTTTTTGACAATAGAAAACTTGTTCGCGTTGTGTAATGTTTATTTTTCTGTCGCGTTTTTTTGCACATTTTACAATATCGACTCATATTGTACGATTTTTTTAAAAAAAATTTGATGGATTTTTTTATTTGACGGATTTTTCACAAAAGGAAAATCATTCTCGGGAAAAAAAGATTAGGGCTTAATGTCGATATGTTTTTCTTTATCGTTATAAAATAAAACAAAATTGTAAACCCAATAAAGAATCAAAGTTCTGAATGTAGAACAATGCTATTTTTGCGTAATTATCTGTGTTGAGACTTGTCTTTGTGGCTTAATTAAAGATCATATGATAAGTCCTAAAAATAAAATCATGTAAATTTAAATGAATTTTTTGAAGGGTAATTTGATAACGATAATATACTTACAGTAGTAATATCAGATCTACGTATATTACGTATATGCGCATATAACGATAACTGATAACTAATAATTGATATTGATATTATAAATCATTATTCATCATTATTCATTAATTATTAAAAAAATGAATCATGAATGAAATGAATGAATGCATTTTTTTCATAGCGTTTAGTCAACTGTCTGTATGTAGTCTGTATGCGTTAACAAACACGGGTAACTTTTCCTGTATCTTTTGTTTACTCAACATCTCCCTGTTACACTGCACTGATGTTCCTTGATCATCGTATCTTTTTGTAATCACATCACTAAAATAGTCTTTTTAGGCAATAGAATCACATTTCATATTACCGTAACGCTAAAGGAATTTAACTAATACGTCACACTTTCGTCATTCATCACAGGTAAGTCAGAAATATATTATAAATATAAATATATTATAAATATATTATGTAGTTTTTATAAAGTTCTAATTTATCAGTTATGAAATATTGTTTATTCAGAAACCAATGATTTTAGAATAACAATAACATTTACTGCTGTACTGCGACTTGTTATTAATCCGGTTTTTGACAAGTAAATTTAAATTTCCTCATAATAAATACCCTTTGATCAATCCTACTCCTGTTTTTTTTTTAA